CAGACGATCCTGATTTTTGGCCACCTGGTCAATAATGCACTAAAAATGAACCAGTTCACAGAACTGCACACCCTCTTTTAAAAATTCGTAACTTCCAATCCACATAAGGCAGATACTTGCAACTCACACACCCAGTAGAAGACAAAGGATGCACAAAACCCTGAAAATCTTGCCGAAATGCCAGACGATCCTGATTTTTGGCCACCTGGTTAATAAATCACCAAAAATGAACCAGTTCGCAGGACTAACTTTTAAAAATTCGTAACTTCCAATCCACATCAGGCAACAAGTTGAATTTCGCACGCCCTATAGAAGGTGCTTTGAGCAGAAACCCCGAAAATTCCCAGTAATCAGTCGCCCAAAATTCAATTTAAAAAAAATCCATTGTGTTGAAAATATCCTGGTAGGACAATGAGAGCTCAACATTGCCCACCACATTTACGCAAAAGCGCTTGCCTGGTTTGAAACACCCCGCATTCCTACTAAAGATAAGTTAAAATTATACACGGTGTCCTAGAAACAGATGAAAATATGCAAATGCGTGAAAGACACGTGGTTCTCAAACATCTGGGCAAATTCTCAGCCGCTTTATCAGGACTGATTTCCTTATCGAGACTTGTTCCAAAAAACTCCCCAAAGGTTTCCTTCCACTTGTCGCTCGGGTAAGAGTCAAAAGGGCCATACAGGTGCGCTTGAGTATACGTAGTAAATGTGGCACCACTTTTGGCACCTGTGTGGCTTGTGATTGCAGTCGGTTACACCATGCGAGACATCCGGTATAAGTGGAACGAAGGTCCCAACTCGGTCGGCGTATCGAACGAGGTCTCGTTGCCCCAATTCAAGGTTCTCGGACATCGGCAAAGAGCCATGGAGATCTCCCTCACCACAGGTACATCCCCTGTGCCCGATTTGGGGCCTGGTGACTCTTGCGCTGCCACAAAGCGGCCTCTTTGCGGGGTTTGGCACATCTTATATTGTCGTTCCCACAGGAAACTACTCGCGTTTGGCCTGCGAGATCCAGTTCGTGCGCTCCATGGGTTACTACCTGATCCAGATCTACATCCCCTCTGGACTGATCGTCATCATTTCCTGGGTGAGTTTCTGGCTGAACCGCAATGCCACGCCTGCCAGAGTGGCGCTGGGCGTCACCACTGTCTTGACCATGACCACACTGATGTCGTCTACGAATGCCGCCTTGCCCAAGATCTCCTACGTCAAATCGATTGACGTCTATCTGGGCACATGTTTCGTCATGGTCTTCGCCAGTCTTCTAGGTAGGTCCCCCGATTGCCAGGAGCATTTTCCGGAACCCTTCTTCTTCCAGAATACGCCACCGTCGGCTACATGGCGAAACGGATACAGATGCGGAAAAACCGCTTCCTGGCCATCCAGAAGATCGCCGAGCAGAAGAAACTGAACGTGGATGGCGGGCCGGACGACCACCTTCCCAAGCAAACTGTGAGTAATCGTACAATTGCAGGCGTTTGCCTTGGTTTTTTGCAAACTTCTTTTTGGGTATTTCGCCTCAAAAAT